CATCATCATCAGCATCATCATCATCATCATCATCATCATCATCATCATCATCATCATCCCCCGCCCCGCCTCCTCCTCATCCTCCGCATCCTCCTCCTAGTCCGCCTCCGCCTCCTCCTCCTCCTCCTCCGCCTCATCATCCTCCTTATCCTCCTCCTCCACCCTCCCCCTCCCCCTCCCCCATCCGTCGCCCACTCATCATCCCCCTCGCCCTCATCCTCCTCCTCCTCCTCGCCCGCATCATCCTCCTCCTCCTCCTCTTCCTCCTCCTCCTCCTCCTCCTCCTCCTCCTCCTCCTCCTCCTCCTCGTCCGCCTCCTCATCCTCCTCCTCGTCATCCCCCTCCCCATCATCCACCTCCTCCTCCTCCTCGCCCTCCTCATCCTCTTCCTGCTCCTCCTCCTCCCCCGCCTCCTCATGCTCCTCCTCCTCACCCTCATCCTCCTCCGCCTCCCTCCTCCTCCTCACCCTCCTCCTCCCCATCATCCTCCTCCATCATCCCTCCTCCGTCCTCCGTCCTCCATCATCCCTCCTCCCTCCTCCCTCCTCCCCCCCCCCCCCCCTTCCCACTCTCTCCCCCCCTCGTCCCTCCTCATCCTCCTCCTCCTCCTCCTCCTCCTCCTCCTCATCCCGCTTCCGCCCCTCGCTTCTTCCTCCTCCTTCCTCCTCCCTACTCCGTCCCTCCTCCCCTCCTTCCTCCTCCCTCCCCCCTTATCCCGCATCGCTCCTCTCCCCTCCCTCCTCCTCCACCCTCCTCCATCCTCCCTCTCCCCCCCCCCCCCCCCCCCCCCCCCCCGCTCAACGCCACCCGCCTGCGGCCTCCCGCCTCCCACAGCCCCCTCCTCCCGCCTCCCCGCCACCCAGCTCCCTCTCCTCCCCTCCTCTCCTCCTCCTCCTCCTCCCTCCTCCTCCTCCTCCTCCTCTTCCTCGTCCTCCTCCTCATCGTCTTCAGCTTAGCATTGTTATTAGTATTAGTATTGTTAGCCTTCTTATTATTAGTTTTAGTAGTCGTCTTATTGTTCGTAGTACTATTCTTATTGTTATTATTCGTAGTCGTATGATTCGTCTTAGTATTCGTAGTATTACTATTAGTATTATTATTAAACGTGTTATTGTTATTACTATTAGTAGTAGTATTATTGGTAATATTATTATAATTATTATTAGTAGTATTATTATCATCAGTATTATCAGTAGTATTATTATTATTATGAATATGCTTCTTCCTCTTATCATTAATAGTAGTATTAGTATGAGTCGCCGTCGTATTCCCATTATTTTTAGCAGTTTCATTCTTATTCTTAGTAATAATCTTATTCTTAGTGTTGTATGATTCTTAGTATTCGTATTATGATTAGTGTTAGTGGTGCTAGTATTAATAGTAATACTGTTATTGTTCTTATTATTAGTAGCAGCAGTAGTAGCAGTAGTAGTAGTATTCTTTATAGTATTACTATTAGTATTAGGTTTCGTCTCCTTCTTCGTATTATTCTTATTAGCCTTCTTATTATTAGTATCAGTCGTCTTCTTAGTCGTCGTATTATTCTTAGTATTCTTATTAGTCGTCGTGTCCCCAGTATTCGTCTTAGTAGTCTTCGTCCGATTCGTCTTTTTAGTGTCATTCATATGGTTATTAGTGTGCAGCTTCTTCGTATTCGTAGTATTAGTAGTAGTATTAATATTCTTATCATTGTTCTTAGTAGTATGCTTCGTATCCTTCTTCTGAGTATTAGGATTCGTCTTCTTCTCCTTATGATTATTCGTCTTCGTCTTCGTATTATTACGATTACTGTGCCGTGATGAAAGATTACCCTATTTTGACGGGTCGGAAAAAGTTCATCCTTCGTCCGCAATGCGAGCACACGCCTGTGCCGTGATGACAGATTGCCCCACTTTGACGGGTCGGCAGAAGTGCAGCCTGCGTCCGCAATGCGAGCACACGTCTGTGCCGCGATGACAGGTTGCCCCATGTGGACGGGTCGGCAAAAGTGCATCCTGCGTCCGCAACGCGAACGCACGTCGCTAGTCGCCCCGTTAGGGACGTGGAGCCTGGTACAATGTTACGGGGAGGTGCCTCGCTTTCGGGGCGGAGTTCGAACCTGGGCTGTCGGGGCGGGGTTCGAACCTGGATCTGGTTCCTTAAATTAAAATTTTATTAAGCCAAACGGGATGGCGGTTCGAAAACGGCAAACCGCGTGGGACATCCTCACAAAATTGGCTCTCAAGACGGTTCGAACTCAGTTCGAAACACTAGAATGCGGTTCGAAACAAAAGCAGAATGAGCGTTTCGCGTGGGGCGTCCCTCAAAATACGGCGTCGGACCCAGTTCGAAACAAAAGGACGGCGGTTCGAAAACGGCAAACCGCGTGGGACATCCTCACAACATCTGCTGTCCTGATGGTTCGAACTCGGTTCGAAAGAAGGGGATGGCGGTTCGAAAACGGCAAACCGCGTGGGACATCCTCACACAAATTCTTGTTCTCACGGTTCCAACTCGGTTCGAAAGAAGGGGATGGCGGTTCGAAAACGGCAAACCGCGTGGGACACCCTCACAAAAATGGTTGTTCTGACTGTTCCACGTCGATTCGAAACAATAGCATCGATGTCCAAACGGTTGGAAAACGACGTGTGGATGCATCGTAGCCATTACTTCGGCTATGCTAAAAAAGGGCCAAACTTTAATCACGCCCATGTATTCTTATTCGTCGTCTTAGTATTATTCTTCGTCTGCTTCTTATTATTATTCTTAATCGTCTTCTTCGTCCTCTTCCTCCTCCTCCTCCTCCTCCTCCTCCTCCTCCTCACCCTCCACCTCAGTATCCTCCTCCTCCGCCTCCTCCTCCTCCGCCTCTCCTTCCCCCTCCACCGAATGCTCCCTCACCATTGTTCCTCCTCCCCGTCCGCCTCCTCCTCATCGTCATCCGCTTCCTCCACCTCCTCCTCCTCCCCATCATCATCATCCTCATCATCATCATCATCATCAGCATCATCATCATCATCATCAGCAGCAGCAGCACATCATCATCACCAGCATCATCAGCATCATCATCATCATCAGCATCATCAGCATCAGCATCATCATCGTCATCATCGTCATCATCATCATCTTCATCGTCATCATCATCATCATCGTCATCATCAGCAGCAGCATCATCATCAGCATCATCAGCATCATCATCAGCATCATCATCAGCATCAGCATCGTCATCATCATCATCAGCATCATCATCATCACCATGAGCATCGTCATCATCATCATCATCATCATCATCATCATCATCATCATCATCATCAGTATCATCATCATCATTATTCTCCCCATCCTCAGCATCATCATCAGCATCATCAGCAGCATCAGCATCATCATCAGCAGCAGCATCATCAGCAGCATCAGCAGCATCAGCATCACCAGCAGCATCAGCAGCATCATCATCGGTTCAGCATCCTCAGCATCAGCATCACCATCACCATCATCATCAGCACCATCAGCATCATCATCATCATCAACATCAGCATCAGCATCACCATCAACATCAGCATCATCATCATCATCATGATCATCATCCTCAGCGCAATCATCGTCATTATCATCCTCATCATCATCGCTCTTCATCCCCCATGCTCTTCCTCATTCCTCATCCCTCCACCCTCCTCCTCCCTCCTCCCTCCGCATCCCTCCTTCTCCCTCCTCGCGCCTCCCTCCTCCCTCCTACATCCTCCCTCCTCCATCCTCCCTCCTCCCTCGTCTCCTTCATCCGCCCCCTTCTCCTTCTCCTCCTCCTCCTCCTCCTCCGCCTCCTCCTCCTCATCCTCCCCCATCCTCCTCCTCATCGTAGTATTAGTATGTTTATTATTCGCACTATGCATCGCATTCGTGTGTATATATTCATATTCTGTTCATTACGACTAGTAGTCTTAGTTCTATGTGTACAATTCGTATTAAGATTGGCGTTCGCATTCTTATTCGCATTAGTACTACTAATACGATTAGTATGCTGGGTAATATAGTTTATAGTATGAGTACGGTTCTAAACGTTCTCAGTATTATGAGTGTTCGTGTCGTTATTATTCGCATTCGTCATGTTAATCAGCGTCTTGTTCGTAAGGTTCGTATTAATGTGATTGCTTCTTCGTATTCGTTGTCGAAGTAATCGGCTTCTTAATCGTACTCGTAGCATTAACAGGTGTGATATCCATGCAATCACTATACATAGTTTAAGTGTTCGTAATCGTCTTCTTCGTGTAGAATTATGATGCGTATTAGCATTCGCTGTATTATTCGCATCCCTAGTATTACTAATAATTCTATAGTTCGCCTTCTTCGATTTATTGTTATTACTATTACTCTGCTTATTCCTAATCGTTTTAGTGTTATTCCTTCTCCTCCTACTCCGCCTCCTTCTCCTCCTCCTCCTCCTCCCTCTCCCTCTTCTTCCTCCTCCTCCTCCTCCTCATCCTTCCTCTTCCTCCTCCTCTTCCTCCTCCTCCTCCTCTTCCTCCTCCTCCTCCTCCTCCTCCTCCCCGTCCTCCTCCTCCTCCTCGTCTTCGTCCTCCTCTTCTTCCTCATCCTCCTCCCCCTCCTCCCCCTCCCCCTCCACCTCCCCCTGCCGCCACTCCTCCGCCTCCCCCTCCTCCTCCTCCTCCTCCTCCTCCTCCTCCTCCTCCTCCTGCCCTTCCATTTTATCACATTACATGTCTTCCCTCCCTCCTTCCATTCCTTCTTCTCCCCCTCCCTCCCTCCCGCTCCGCGCGCCAAGGTGGGTGCAGCGCCGATCCAAGAGATTTGCGCGACCTCCGAAAAGTGCAGTGTATGTCGACTGATCTTCCTGCTCAAGGAAATGGCACCATGATTTATCCACCGACGTCGGCAAGGCAAGATCCTGAACGTCTGCTTATATGCACCTTCACAGCATTCTGAATATGCAACCTTGACTCTCTCACCGTCCAGTGATCACCACGATGATGTGACCATGACTCCCCTCAGAAGGGTCAACGGCTGGCCTTCTCAGCGTTTGCCACACATCGCCTGAAGTCCTGCAGGCGCGCCACAGGCAGAAGAGCGATGGGTGGTTCAATACGAGTCCCGTCTGACCTGTCCACATCCCCACTGCTGGCGGCACGCACAAGGGGGGTTCGAAGGAGGGGGGAGGGCTTCTTAAAAAAGGAGGCTGCTTCTGACAGGGCGCCGGCCTTACACCTATAGATGAGGCCGACGCCTTCGAAGGAGCAGTCGGGGATGGACAGACCCCCCTTTAGCAAAACGTGGTTTAGTGAAAACGACCTGAGGCCCAAACCTGGCGGGCACAAGCCTGGAAAACAACGGCCGCGGCGCCCTCTCGAGAACCGAAAACGGACAATTCACTAATCGACGTGTCACTGTTGTGGGTTCTGTCCACCCCCGAATTATGTTGTTCCCATCCTACTTCATGGCTACATCGCATAAATAATTCCGAGCACCCCGATAAGTGTCAAAAGAGTTTCGAAAAACAGTGTCGAAGCCGTGTCGGACGAGTGTCTCCCAGAGTGTCGAAGCCGTGTCGGACGAGGCTTCGAAGAAGCAGGGATGCTTCAAAGAAGCCCTCCCCCCTCCCCTCCGACCCACTTCTGCGCGTGGCTGAGCACGAACATCGTTCCACCGATCCCCATCCCCACTGGCAGGGCTCCGGCCCCGCTGGCCAGCTCGCCCACTGAGAAGAGGAGGAGGAGGAGGAGAAGGAGGAGGAGAAGGAGGAGGAGGAGGAGGAGGAGGAGCGTCACCTGGCCCACTGCCCCCTCCATCTCTGCGTCCGTTCCTCTCCGCGCCTCCTACGCCTTGCAGCAGCGGGCCAGTGGGCTCTGCGCGGTCCTCCTCGCTCTTGAAGGGATGGAAGGCGACTCTGCTGCCATCCGAGCAGTCGCTCCACGCAGGGCAGTCGCAGTGGTCCTCGGGGCGGCGATCGACTGCCATCCCACGCCGCGGTCGAGCAACAGCGGAGTTCTGGCTGGTTGCCGTCGACTGGGGCTGGAGTGCGCCCGGTGAGACCTCGTCTCTGGGGCGTCGATGGGCATCCCTGGGCCCACGTCGCACGAGAGAAGCCGCGGCGAAAATCCAAGCATATCTCTGGCCTCCCTGGGTGTGAAGAGGTCCTCTGGAAAAGGAGCTTCCAAGGAGCACGCACGCACAACACCAGGCCACAGCTTGCACTGCAGTCAAAACGAAATACCCCAGCAGAGCACCATCGTGGCAGCCAAGTGTGAAGAGGCGGGTCGAGGGGCAGGAGGTTGGCTAGGAGGTGGCAGGGGTAGAAGCACGGACATGCGCACCTACATAGGAGATTAAACATATATGATTCTTAATGCATGATAAATGCATGAAAAACTTTATGCATGAACTCATCGTTGATTGAATGCTAAATCCGTGCATGTTTTAATACATGATCCGCACGCGGAGCATGTATAAAAAAACGGCACTGTAGTTGACTTGTACCAGGGGACCGTGGCCGTCCATACAAAGCATGTGGCGGCCGACATTAAGGCGAAAGCACGATCCCTGAGAACAGTATGAAGAAATCTCTGGCGACAAGGCTTCCGTCGTCAGAGATTTGCACGGAAGGCGTAAGCGCAAGAGCCCCATGTGCCCATGCATTGTAGCAGGCGCAACTGCTTCTGCGGCCCTGGATCGCGAGGACGTCTAGAGCGAAATTGCTGAGATTGTCCTACACTGAGGCCGTCTCAAGCGAAACAGCCTCTGTCGTCCTCAGTGGTAGATCAAGATAGAGCGAGGCGGCGATCCTGGGAGTCTGGTCTCCTTCCACGCCCCGCCCCCCTTGCGGGAACCGTCTGTGGTCCTAAACTGTGAAACAATATCATGCGAAACGGCGATTCCGAGAGTCCTGTCTCCTGCGTCCCCCTACCCCCCTTGTGGGTCTCCTGTGTGTTGCTTGGCCTCAATAAGCCCCCTCATGTGAAACGCTGTGAGGAAAATCCTAGTTCTGCGCTGCGGCACTCCTTCAAGAACTGCCCATGAGCCCGTGACAAACTGGAGTCCCGAAACGGTGCGGTGACAAACCGTGCGGTGACCTCGAAATCCCCAAAGATCTCACCGCACGGTCCGTCAACGCACGGTTTTGGAACCTCGGATGCCCCAGTCGCCCGAGGCGTCCTCAGAGAACGACCCGAGACCCAAAACCGTGCGGTGACCCCGAATCCCCACCGACTCACCACACGGTACAGGGCAGTGCTTCATACATAGGATGTTTAAAACATGGAATGTTTGATACATGAGTAATTTATGAATAAATTCATGCATGAACTCATCCTTGCATTTATTAATCAACCCTTTATTTTTAATACATGGTCCGCACGCGGAGCATGTCTAAAAAATGGCACTGTATGGTCACCACCCCGTTTGGGGGCCCCCGAACCCCCCAGCCCTCACCCCCTCTTCGGCGCGCCCGGCGGCACCTCCGCGGGCCTTCCCGGGCGACTCGGGCACCCTCGCAGAGCCCCTCGACGAGGCGTC